GCTGCTGGGTTCCCAGCCCCCCACCCCCAGCAACATCTCCCCCTCCCCCCACTGATCTTCCCAGGAAATACAGGCCTACATTCGGAAGTGTCCCCTGTCACTCTGACCCCGTCTTGGGAGAGGAGCAAGCTTGGATGAGGCCTGCCCCCTGTCCCCACTTCTGCGTGGGGCCCCCACGGCAGTCCCGGCTCCCAGGCTCGGGTCCTTTGGTCCTTGACCCGCCTGGTGGGACGGCCTGGGCAAGTGCAGTGCTGGCTTGTCCCCCTTGGCCGGGGCCGTGGGGCCCAGTGGGGCCTCAGGGGCAGGGCCGAGTGTGAGTGGCCAGGTGCCAGGGCAGAGGAGGGGGGCCCCGGGGGGCTGGCCCAGCTGTGGGCGGGCTTCCTTGTCCCTGGTCTTGGTGCCGTGGGAGTTGCCTTGGGCCGTGGTGAGATTGCCACAAACCGGGGGGCTTCGAACACCCCATGCGTCCTCTTACAGTTCTGGAGGCCACGAGTCTGACTCAGGGCTCACCCGGCTGAAGTGGGGGTGTCCCAGGGCCTGGCTCCCTCTGGGGGGCTCTGCGGCAGAATCTGTTTCCAGGCCTTTCTGGCTTTGTAGGCACCTGTGCTCCTGGGCTCTCGGCCCCTCCTCTGCCTCCCCCTTCCCAACCAGCAGGGGCAGATGGTGCCCCCTGGGACCCCGTCTCCTGCCTGCTTACCCACTGGTAGGGCCCTGGGATGACCCTGGGCCACCGGGTCACCCAGGGCAGTTCTCCTGTAGACGGTCAGTTCCCAGTAACCTGTGTCGTCGAAACTACTCACGGGTTCCGGGATGGATGTCTTTGGGGGGCCATCATTCTGTCCCCCGCCCCCTGTTGTGGTAGCTCCCTCCATCTTGTGAAGGGGCTCTCCCGGCTTGAGGTGGCATGGCCTTCGCACCCGTCCTGAGCACCCTCTGGCCGCGTGCGCCCCGCGGGGCTTCTGCCCGAGTGGGGAGCCCAGTGTGACGCGGGCACAAGGTCGGCGGCTGTTAGGCGACGCGGGCTGGCCCCGGGGGTGCAGGTGGGTCCCCTGTGTCCCATTCGCACAGCTGCAAGCCTCCGGCCGTGTGCAGTGACCTGCGTCCCAGGGCCAGCCTCCCCGGTGCACCCACCCCCCCGACTCGAGGCTGGTCGGTGCGCCCGCCCTGGCCGGTCAGCCGGAGCTGCCCCGTGCCTTATCTGTTAGTTCTGCTAGTGACCCTGCCACAGGTGGAGGCCTGTGGCCGAGCCAGCCCGGCCAGAGCTGGGGTTGTTGGGGTTTTTTTTAATGTTTGTTTATTCCTGAGAAAGAGTGCATGCGGGGGAGGGGCAGAGAGAGAGGGAGACACAGAATCCGCAGCAGCTCCAGGCTCTGAGCTGTCAGCACAGAGCCCGACGCGGGGCTCGCACCCACGAACTGTGAGATCATGACCTGAGCCAAAGCCAGACGCTTAACTGACTGAGCCCCCCAGGCGCCCCCCATTACAGGAAAGTTTTAAATCGAGGTAGAGTTACACATGACACGATATTAGTGTCAGGCGTATGACACTAGGACCCGACATCTGTGTATCGCAACAGGGCCGCCACGGCCTATCTCCTTAATATCCGTCACTGTCTGTACTTCTAATCACTTCTGTGGTTACGTTCCCGGATGAGAGAAGTTCTTGACGAGAACCTTTAAGATCGACTTTCGGGGGCGCCTGGGTGGCTCAGTCGGTTGAGCGTCCGACTTTGGCTCAGGTCATGAGCTCACGGTTCATGGGTTCAAGCCCCGGGTCGGGCTCTGTGCTGACAGCTCGGAGCCTGGAGCTGCTTCAGATTCTGTGACTCCCTCTCTCTCTGACCCTCTCCTGCTCATGCGGTCTCTCTCTCTCAAAAATAAATAAAACATAAAAAAAAAAAAGATCGACTTTCAAAGTGAGTTTCAAATCTACAGCACGGTGTTATTGACTACACTCGCCGTGCTGTGTATTAGACCCCCGGGACTTAACTGTGTTTTGACTGGAAGTTTTGTTCCGATGGCTGAGTAATATCCCACCGTGTGGCCGGACCCTGATTTGTTTACCCACTTGTGTTGGACCCGTGGGTTGTTTTCTGCTTTCAGACGCTGTGACTAGTTTGATGGACGCTGGTGTACAGGTCTCTGTGTCCCTGATTTAAATTCTTTGGGGTGCATACTTAGAAGCAACTTGCTGGGGGATCCGCTAAGCCTACCTTTAGCTTTTTGAGGAACCGCCCAACTGTCTTCCACAGCGCGCGCGCCATGTCGCGTTCCCACCAGCAGAGCACGAACGAGGGCTCCGGCTTGTCCGCACCCTCACCGACACTTGGTGTTCACTGGTTTTAGTGTGCCACCCTAGTGGGCGCGAAGTGCTATCTCACTGGTGGCTCTGGTTTGCGTTTCCCTGTGGCTGACGCGGAGCGTCTTCTCACGCGCTCATCGGCCAGCTGCACGGCTCGGGGGAGACGTCTGTTCAGGTTGTTCGCCCGTTTTATTTTTTTTATTTTATTTTTTTTTAATGTTTTATTTATTTCTAGGAGAGAGAGAGAGAGAGAGAGAGAGAGACAGCGTGAGCAGGGGAGGGTCAGAGAGAGGGAGTCACAGACTGAAACAGACTGAAACAGTCACAGACTGAAACAGGCTCCAGGCTCTGAGCTGGCAGTCAGCACAGAGCCCGACACGGGGCACGAACCCACGAACCGCGAGATCAAGACCAAAGAGAAAGTCGGACGCTTAACCGACTAAGCCACCCAGGCGCCCCATGTTCGCCCGTTTTAAATCAGGTTGTCTGCCTTTGTTGCTGAGTTGTAGGAGCTCTTTATATATTGTGGATATTCAACCCTCATCCAGAGCGAGGGTCTGAACCTGCTCCGAATGCCGCTCTTCCCCACCCCTGGGATGCCGTGGCCGCTGTGTTCCCGTTGGGTGGAGCTGAGGTTTGTCACCTGTTGCCTGCCTTGCCTACTTGTTCCGAGTTCTGCTTTTTTTTTTTTTTTTTTTTAATGTTTTATTTATTTCTAGGAGAGAGAGAGAGAGAGAGAGAGAGAGACAGCGTGAGCAGGGGAGGGTCAGAGAGAGGGAGAGACACAGACTCTGAAACAGGCTCCAGGCTCTGAGCTGGCAGTCAGCACAGAGCCCGACGCGGGGCTCGAACCCACGAACCGCGAGATCATGACCCAAGTGAAAGTCGGACGCTTAACCGACTAAGCCACCCACGCGCCCCCCGAGTTCTGCTTTTACACTGGTGCTGTGACCACGGTCCTGCGCGGTCCTTGGCCGAGCTTCAGGGAGAGAGGTCCCGGGATCAGAGGGTCCAGGTGGCTTTGCGGAGCTTGGAGGCCTGGGGGACTGTCACTGTCCGAGAAGCGTGGTGGCCCCTGAGTGCAGGGTCAGGGCAGCTGGTGTAAGTGCTGCCTCGGGGGGACTCTGTTGGCCTCTGGGCAGAGGCGGCCCGAGGTTCTAGCACTGGGAACCCAACGCCCCCAGCGTATCAAGCAGAGGGGGGCTGTTTGCTGGAGCCAGGATCCTTCTGTGGGGACAGCCAGCCTGTGAAGCGCGTCACACCCTTGCCATCACACACTGGGACGCTGAGGTCCAGAGAGGGTGGGAACGCACCTCTGGCCACACAGCAACATCAAGACTGTCGCCAAGACGGGCTTGTAGCGTGGCCGCTTGGGCAGGAGGATTTTGAGCCTGGGTTTCCCTTCTGACTGGGGCCGAACCCCTTTGCTCCTATCGCTGTGTTTCTCTTTGCAGACTCCCAGGGACGGGCAGCTCACCACCTCTGAAGCAGCCTGTTCCACTGCGGGGTGGCTCTGACAGAAAGTTCTGTGGGCCGGGAGGAGGGTGGAGGGGCCTGGCCACGGGGGCCTCGGGCGGCTGAGCTGAGCTGTCACGTTCTTCCCTTCTGGGCACAAAAGGGAAGTGACTTCCTGGGTCAGTTGGAGGAACGGGCTAGGCAGGATTTGCTCTTGGTCTGGCCAGTTCCAGTGGGGACCCAGCCTCCGCCGTGGTCCTGGGGACCTATTTGGGTGCCAGCCTTTGGAGGGTGAGCCTGAGGCTGCCAGGAGACTGGCACAGGCCGTCCCGAGTGTGCCTGGGATAAACCCGCGTCGTTACTGGCCTCCGAGGGCCCATCTGCTGTGCCCTGGGAACCGGGGGACAGAGCAGACCTGAGGAGCACCTGTCACGCTGAGCATGTGGTGACCGCTGGTGCTGTCCCTCCCCATCCCTGCAGACAGCGCCAGACTCCTTACCCCCTCCCACAGAGCAGCCAGGGAGGTTTCTAGAAGGCATTCTCCCCCTCTTCTCCCCTCCTGCCCCCCACTCCTGTCCTGTGTGCCAGGTCCGGCTGCTTGTTGGCTGGAACGCCCTCCCCGGCTTGGCCCCCCCCCCCACTGTCATTGTCTTTTTCTTTCCTGTAGAACAAAATACAGAGAAGTACCAAAGCTTCTATAACAAACACCCCCCACCCCAAACGCACGCACTCACCATTTTATCATGTTTCTTCAGATCTTGCGTAGGAACCAAAACACGAAACACGGAGACAAAGCCAGAGCCCTCTGCGCCCCCTCCCCTGCGCACTCTGGGGCTCCCGATGAGTCTGGGCTCTGTGTGCACCCTGTCCCTGGGGCCTCACCGAAGTACCCCCCCCCCACAACCCTCCCCCAGCACGCAGTGGGCTGTGCAGCTCGCTCTCAGGTGGGCAGCAGAGCCCCCTACCCCGGACCTCCCGTGGGAGCCCCCAGGTAGTGGGGGCGGCAGGTCCGCTGCCTCTGCGGCCCCAACGGGCCAGGCTGATCCTAGGTGCCCGGACGCAGGGCCTCGCCTTCGGGTGACCCCCCTCCTCCCCCAGTGGCTGCCTGCGGCTTAGTTGCTGGTGGAAGGAGGGAGGGAGGGATGGAAGGTGGCGGCGACGGGGGGGAGGGGAGGGGAGGGGAGGCCGAGCCGCGTGGCTGCCCGCCCTCACCGCCTTCCTTCTCTCCTGGCCCCTACCTGCAGCCAAGTACCCGGCCATCAAGGCCCTGATGCGGCCCGACCCCCGCCTCAAGTGGACGGTGCTGGGGCTGGTGCTGGCGCAGCTGCTGGCCTGCTGGCTGGTGCGGGGCCTGGAGTGGCGCTGGCTGCTCTTCTGGGCCTACGCCTTCGGCGGCTGCGTCAACCACTCGCTGACGCTCGCCATCCACGACATCTCGCACAATGCCGCCTTCGGCACGGGCCGCGCCGCCCACAACCGCTGGCTCGCCGTGTTCGCCAACCTGCCGGTGGGGGTGCCCTACGCCGCCTCCTTCAAGAAGTACCACGTGGACCACCACCGCTACCTGGGCGGCGACGGGCTGGACGTGGACGTGCCCACGCGCTTCGAGGGCTGGCTCTTCTGCACGCCGGCCCGCAAGCTGCTCTGGCTGGCGTTGCAGCCCTTCTTCTACTCGCTGCGGCCGCTCTGCGTGCACCCCAAGGCCGTGACCCGCATGGAGGTGATGAACGCGCTGGTGCAGCTGGCCGCCGACGCCGCCCTCTTCGCCCTCTGGGGGCTCAAGCCCGTGGCCTACCTGCTGGCCAGCTCGCTGCTGGGCCTGGGCCTGCACCCTATCTCGGGCCACTTCGTGGCCGAGCACTACATGTTCCTCAGGGGCCACGAGACCTACTCCTACTACGGGCCCCTCAACTGGATCACCTTCAACGTGGGCTACCACATGGAGCATCACGACTTCCCCAGCATCCCCGGCTGCAACCTGCCCCTGGTAAGGGCGTCCGGGTGGGGGGGGGGCGCGAGGAGATGGGGGGGAGGGGTGCAGGCCCCTCCCCTGCAGGCACTCTAGGGGGGGGTGGGGAGACAGTGGGGGGGTGGGGGCGGGGCAGGTGCCTTGGGGGGGCGGGGAGAGGGGTGTGAGAGGGGAGGGGTGCAGGGGTGGGGCAGGGAGGCGGGGGCTGGTCATGGGCTGGCTCTCACATGGCGTGCAAGAGGCAGCACGGTATAGACGAGTGCCCGGCTGCTGAATGAAGGGGTGAATTCGGGGAGGCCGGGGGCTCCAGGGGCATTTTGTGGTTTAGGCCGCTTGGTTTATGGAAGACCTGTTAGAACGCAGCTACCTCCACGGTTTCCAGGCTGTATGCCCTCCAGCAGGCCACTCGCCCTCTCTGTGCCTCAGCTTCCTCTTCCTTAAATAGGGGGGCACAGCCCCACTGCATGCGCCACACCGCCGTTCCTGGCCCCTGCCTCCCTCCCTCATCTCTGCTCACTTCTTGTCACTGCTCTGTGAGCCTCTGGAGCGCCGTCTTCGCACAGAGAGGACGGGGTGGGCTTTGCCCTTTGGGACCCAAGTGGCTTGGCCTGAGCTGCTTCCTCTGCCTTGGGAGCCTGGGAATTTCTGAAGGGGGGGAGGGGAGGGTAGGGGGTAGGGGGTAGGGAGTTTGGGTCTGTGCTGGGGGTTAGAAAGAGCTGAGGTGACGCGAGGCACAGTGGCTGCAGGGAGGCATCGGCGGCGAGTACGTCGGAGTGTTTGGGTCCGTGTGTGCATCTGCGCCGCCACGTGTCCACGTGTTTGTGCGTGTGCTTATGTGTGAGCACTTGGCTGGGCGCGCAGGTGTTTGTGCCCTGGTTGTGTTGACAGTCTGTGTCCAGCCCTGGCCGTGCTGACCCCCTCCCACATCCCCCCCCCTTTCCTGCTGACGCGGGCAAGTCAGCGCCTGTGTGCCAGGCACCGTGGCCCCTTGTCCCTTCAGCCTGACCGCAAGCCGTGCTGTGAGTGCCCCCATTCCCCGTCGTCTGCGTTTCACACACGGGGCCCAGGCACAGACAGGGCAGGTCCCTGCCTCGGGAAGTAGCAGGGCCAGAACCTGGACCCAAGGTGGTCGCGGAAACACGTGGGGTTTGTTAGCTGTGAGCCTTTACTTCTCCCCGGGTCAGGCTCCCTGCGCATGCCCCACGCGGGTCGCCTGGGCTCTCAGGCCGGGTCTTCAGCTATAAAGCAGGCCTTGAGCACGGGGCGGGAAGGGCATCCCCTGAGGTTGGCGGGCGGTGGAGTGGTGTATGTCCATGCTAGCGCTCAGGCTGGGCGTGCTTCCTGGAGGAGGAGGGCTGAGGGTGTCCAGGCAGAGGGGACAGGCGGCTAGAGGGAGAGGTGCGTGATACGCACTTGGGAAATGGGAAACACCGGCTGGGAGGAAGGCAGGTGATGGAGGGGGGGCCTGGTGGGAGCGAGGCCGGAGGGTTTGGGGGCCAGGAGGGATGCTGGGCATGAACGCGGCTCAGCCGAACTCCAGCCAGGCTTCATCTCAGAACCCCGCAGGCGCTTGAGGGAATGAGAGCTGCCCACCCGGGGCTCCTGGGGCAGAAACTGGGCATGGGCTCCGCGGAGGGGAGGGGGTGCAGTTTTAACCACTCACCTCCCACTGGGGCGGGGGCGGGTGTCAGCCAGTGGCCCCTCTACATCAGGCAGCACTCTGGCTGAGCTAGACAGGGGTGCCCTGGACAGTGACAGGGTGTGTGCAGACGTGTGTGCATGTGTGTGGCAGAGAGCACGCGCCAGGCCGTGACCTCTGACCCCGCTCGCCCTCTCTGCAGGTGCGGAAGATCGCGCCCGAGTACTACGACCACCTGCCGCAGCACCACTCGTGGGTGAAGGTGCTCTGGGACTTCGTGCTTGAGGACTCCCTGGGGCCTTACGCCCGCGTGAAGCGGACGTACAAGCTGGCAGAGGAGCGACTGTGAGCCCGGAGCGCACGACCCCGCGGAACCCTGGCGGCCTGCTGCCCTGCCTGCCCGCCCCTGCCACCGAGCCGGTGTCACTGCCTGTCCCAGCCCCCAGTCCCAGAGCCCATGGGGCTGCATCTGGCTCCTGCACCCTGACTGCGCTCTTGTTTCCCCCAAACCTGGGACCGCGTTGGGCCACAGCGGGCACAGCCTGCGGCCTGGAGAAGCGTGGCCTGCACGTGCACCGTCGGCCCAGGCCGGGCCCTCCTCTTCTGGGCCTCGGGGAGGGAGGCAGCCCTGCCCTGCGTGCTCTGCGCCCGGCCACCGTGGGGCTGATGTCCCTGGTGCTCCCAGGCCCTAAATTCAGTTCAGTGTTTTGTCTTCACAGCCGCAGATTGTGCTTCCCGGGGCCGGTCGTGCCTCTAGCCCGGCCTCAGACTGAGCCCCCTTGGCTGGACCCTGCCAGCCTTGGGCCAGCGGGTCTCCTTCCTGGCCATCCCAGGCCGCGCCCCATCGGCCCCCCACCCCAGGGGACTGCGGCTGCTCCACACCTTGTGCTTGGGCGGCACTCCTGCGGGTCCCGCGTGGGGGTCCACGTGGCCCCGAGGCCCCTCATGGGACACCGTCCCTGTCTCCAGCCTGGGTGAGTACTGCGGACACTGTCCCGAGCTGTGCTCCTGCCACACCTCGAGGCTTTGGCCTGAAGGAAGCCCTCCCTGACCCCAGAGGTTTTTGCCTGGACAGGGTGGGGTCTCCCTGACCAGCTCCCCAAGGACTTGAGGTCTTCCTTCATAAATGGGTGCCGTAGGCCAGATGCGCACAGGGTAGACGCGCGGCAGGATGGACGGGCGGATGCCCGAGAACTACGGCCCGAGGGAAGCTGGCTGGGGTCCCTGGTGATGGCCCTTTCCTTACCGGTGGGCGCATGGCTGGGGCCTAGGGAAGCAGGTTGCTCATTAGCCCCTTGGCCCTGGGGGGCTGCAGGGGGTAGGGTCTGGGTCTCCCAGAGGCTGGCAGGCAGTAGCAAGGGGTGCTGTAAGGCTGGGGAGGCTGAGGATCAGCCCCCCCATGGGTGTTACGGGCTGTGGCAGCTGCCCCAGGAGAGGGAGGGCTGGGGGGAGGGCATGTTGCAGCCCCCCCGTGCCTGAGACCTGGCCGGCGCCGAGCGCTAACTTCCTGCCCAGGGCTGGGGGTGGCCTGCTGTGCCAGGCACCCCTGTCTGAGAATGGTCTGACACCGAAATGGCCCTGGGAAGAGGCCCGGGTGCCAGGGGCTGTTGTGGGAGGAAGTGCGGCTTGGCGGGCGCACTTTGAGCCCGGACAGGGGCCCCTCCCTGTGCAAACAGGTCGGCCAGGGCCAGGTGAGCGCCGCGCCTCCCGAGGCCGGCCTGGGGGCTCCTCAGGCTCTGCCAGCACCCTGTCTACAGAGCTGTCCCAAGGAGGACGTTGCTGTCACCAGCCACCTGCTATGCCCCAGACCCTAGACAGCAGGATGCCTGGGGGGGGCCGCTGGGAGATGGGGCGTCGGCTCTCCTGACGGGACCCTCCCGCCCCCGTCTGTAGGGCTGCTGGGAACACTCGAGGAGATTGGGCGGGGGCGGGGCGGGGGTTGTTCAGAGCCTGGCCAGAAAACAGTCCCCGGTCATCAGTCAGACGGGGGGCCCTGTCTCCTCCCCTCCCACCGAGGCCCTCGGAGGGTGGCTGGGCGCATCCATGAGATGGTCCAGGATTCCCAGGCCTGCCCGCTGCCTGGGGTCAGACCCTCTCCGGCTCCAAAGGGGAACATTCGTGGCCTGAGAAGTGCTGGGCTCTGCCACGGGTGGGCCAGGCCGGTGGTCCTTGCTGAGCCCAAGCCACCACCCCTGTGGGCAGGGACCACCTGCCGAGGCCACCTCCTCTCACTCATCGGCTCCCGGCCACTTTTGGGGCCCCTTCCCCTGGAAGCAGCGGCCTCCTCCAGGAGCGGCCTGGAGCCGGCGTGAGAGAGCGAGCCGGAGCCAGGGGTGTGGACAGTAAGCGTTTATTAGCACGTGGACACAGACACCGCGGTGCGTGGACAGACTTCAACCACCACGACGCTGGGGGCCGTCACCTAGGAGAAAACTCGGAAACCACCTACGGAAGCGTGTGATCTGGGGAGTCCTCTATAAACCAAAAGAAATGGACGCTTAAATAGGCAAATATAAAATACAAAACAAGGCGAGTAGACCGGTGCTCTGTGTCAGGTAGAATCTAAAAAAATCCGGAACTTGAACTCGTTTCCTCATTTTAATATTTTATCACACGGTAACACTTGCGACCGGAGCACCTCCCAGCGTGGTGAGCGCCTGCGTGCGCCGGGGGCCCGGGGCCGGGCTCCTCGCTGTCCCCCGCCGGCAGGTGGCCTGGGGTGTCTCTCGGGCGGCAGCGGCAGGGGCCGAGGGCACTATGAGGTGCTGATCCCGCTTAGCTCCTGCCTGATGGCTGAGGGACAGGACGGACAGGCTCAGGCGCAGCAGCGACAAGCCCTGCCCGATTCTCTGCAGGGCCCTGTGCCCACTCCCCGCGGGAGGTCCTTTCCGGTGTGTGCCCTGCTCTCCTGAGAGCCTCACCCGGGCTCCCAGAGGTCGCGAGGCACAGCTAGAGGTCAAGCGGGGCAGCAGACTCTGTACAGACTTTGGGGTGACGACAAAGCCCCCCCCTCCAAGGGGGAGGACAAGCTGTGGTGGGGATGGGGGGCTTGACCTGCCTGGGAGCTGGGGAGGGGGCCTGGGCCAGCAGGAGCCCTGGGCAGTTCCGGGCAGGTGGGCGCTGGGTCCTGCTCCGAGGTCCCAGGCGCTGCTCCTGGCAGCGGCAGCAGAAAGGGCCTGGCCCTGAGCAGGGTGGAAGGCACCTACCGCCTCTTGCGTGTCAGGCCCAGCTTCCTCCTGCCCCCCCCCCCCCCCCCCCCCCCCCCCCCCCCCCCGTTCTCCCCCGGCTTCAGGCCTTTCCCTGGACAGACCCCACTGGGCCTGGAGCCAAAGGCCGGGCACTTACTAACAAGGGGATGCCCCTCAGAGCGCCCACGGCCCTGCGTGGGGGCCCGCCCACAAGGCAGCTCCCACCTGCGGCTGCACCGACAGCAGACGGGAGAGCGAGACCTGGAGATGTGGTTCCGTCCGCACCCCCTGCCTCCATCCCTGCCCGTCCCCCCTGCACAGGCTGGCTGTGCCCTCTGCTTCTGTCCCTGGGGCCAGCCGGCCGGCACCTCCTGGGCAGGGACCCCGCCCCCCTTCCCCACAATAAAGCAGAGTTCACAGTTGGCCTGTGTCTCCTCTCTGGCTCCAGGGAGGCCTTGCTCTTCACTCATTAACTCCTTATCTGCCCAGCCCAGGCCCGTGGGGGGGCTGGACAAACAAGAACCGAGTGTCCTCAACTGTGCGAGGACAGGGTGCGGCCCGTCACGCAGCCGTGGGCAGGGGTCCAGGTGAGCGGGGGCTGCGGGGCTCCCCTCTGCCCGGCCGTCTGCCACCCGGCCCACCCCTTTGAGTGCACGGAGCCCTCTCCTGCCCAGCCACCCTGCGGGCACGGGGGCCAGGCTGGCCTTGGGGAGGGCGTGGGGGGGGGGGCCCAGGCCGCACCTCACTGCTCTGTCCCCGGGCGAGCCAGCTCTGCCCAGACCTCTCCTGTTCCTCTGGCTCCAGGCCTGAGCCAGCTGTATCAAAGGCTCTGGCAGGAACCGGAAGGACGGACGTGACCCACTGTGGCGGGACCCTGCCCTCCGGAGCCACAGGCTCTTTGAGAAGGAGCCATGCGTCTGCTCCCCCAGCCCAGGGCCAAGCAAGCTGGGAACTGGGTCAGGCCCAGAGGTCGTTCCGTGGCTTCGTGGTCCCCATAACCTCCCGGGAGGGCAGCAGTGGCCTCCATAACCCGAGCCCGGTGACCAGAGGTGGCGGAATCGACAAAGGCAGTCCGAGAGCGCAGCGAGGGGCAGAGGGCTCGGGCCGCTGGGCGGTCTCGCTCCGGCACGCACCCTCCGCTCCCCCGCCCCTTCCACGCACTCGCACTCGCAGCTCACCCCAGGGGGGAGCGCGGGGAGCCGGCACGGAGGCGCGTGTCTCAGGCAGGTCACCTAACTCGTCTGAGCCTCGGTTTGCTTGACCGGCGGGTGGGGGTCACGTGGGGGTCGGGAGGGGGGACGGGAGTGTCCGCGCGGAACCGCCGGGCCCAGGACGGCCTCCCCACGGGGTCCCACCGCCCCTCCAGGCCCCTGGGGGACGGCCAGGGCACAACCTCCACTCACCATCGATGATCTCCTCCTTCACTTTGTGGAGCTCCCGCACCACCTCCTCGAGGATCTCCTGTTGGGGGGCAGAGCCTCTATGGGAAGGGCCCTCACCCGAGATCCCACAAGGCAAGGGTGGAGTGTGAATGGGGGATGGGCCCCCACCCAGTCCTGCTGCAGAAAGCAGGGGCGGCCCCGGGGGCGCGGGGAGCCCCAGGGCGGGCTGGAGTGTCCTGAAGGGCAGAGGGATGCTTTCCTGATGAGCGTGGGCACCCCCACCCCCCCACTGCCGGCCACCCCCACGGGCCTGCCTACCGCGTGCACCCAACGGGCCCCGCCTCCGCCTCCTTCCCGGCCTCTCAGGAAAGGACACACTCACCTGTTTCATCCGATCCAAATCTAAGGCATCCAGGGCCGCGTCGTTCACACCCCCCACCGGCTTCATCCTGCAGAGGGTGGCAGGGTGCGGTAAGGTGGGGAGCCTGGGGGCGCCCTCCAGCCGGGACCGTGGGGAGGAGGCAGGCTGGGCGTGCCAGGCCTCCAAGCTCAGCCGAGGCCCTCACTTCTACCCCGGGCCACTCCGGAACTATGCTAAAAGGATTCTGACGGCCTGTGTCCACCTCAACAGGGTCGCACGGACACTGTGAGCGTATTTCCCAACCCGGGGGTCACTGGGGCTCAATGAAGGGGTTGTTTGCGGATTTGGGAGCTCGTCCACGCACGTGGCAACACGGCAGTTACAGATCACACACTCCCACCTCCGGAAAACCACACTGGCGAGCTACCCGGTGAGGGGTCTATGTTCGGGCTGAACTGCAGCTTGGGGCGGACCGGTAACAATGGCGTTAAATACACGCAGGGTCACAAAAACCACACGGGGACCACTCGTCCTACAGGCATCCACTTCCACGCAAACCCGTGTCTCGGGTGTAATTAGCTTTTCCCCAGGAAATGTGTTTGCATGTGGTTTGGCTCCTTTGAGGCAAAGGTTTCAGTCTCACGGATCGAACTTCTCTGAAAAGCGGCTGAACTCAGGCTAGCTGCCCATGAACCGTCGCTGGGAAAACCTGGAGAAAATGCTCATCTGGCCCCTCGGCATTTTAGAGCGGGGCAGTGGTGAGGCAGTGCGCTTTCTGGATCCCACTTGTCTCCCGTGGGGAGAAGAGCGGCAGGAGCCCGTGGGTCCAGGGAAGTGGGGAGTCTCGAGCCCGGCAGACACACATCGACCTGGCAGCGGTCAGCTCCAGGGAGAGTGAGGGCAGGAAGCACGCGGCAGCCACTGTGGAAAACCATGGAGGCCCCTCAAAATCTGAAAGCAGAGCCACTCTGGGGTGTGTAGCTGCAGGGCAGGACTTGGCTGTCCCGAAGACAGGCCCCCAGGGTCACGGCAGCGTTACTGACGGTAGGTGCGACGTGGGGACAACCCAAGGGTCTGCTGACAGACGGATGGGTGAAGATGTGTCCACACATGGCGGAACACTACCAGCCACAAAGAAGGGGGTCTGCTATGTGTGACACCAGGGATGACGGGAGGGCACGACGCCGAGTGACATCAGGCAGAGAAAGACGGACGCTGTGTGATCTCGCTGACGCGCAAGCACGGACAGAGTCGGTGGCTGCCTGGGGGCCGGGGGCGGGGGAGGGAGGTCAGAGGGCACACCCTCCGGCTGCAGAGGGTCCAGGGCTGTGCCATCCGCTTCAGAGCAGCTAAGACGGACCCTGTCGGGGTGAGCACCGCACGATAGATGCACAGACCTCAATCACCACGGTGCACACCTCAGACTTCTAAAGCGTTAGGTGCCGACTGTACCCCAACAAAGCAGGGAAAGCAAACCACTGAATAAATGTTTAGTGGCCCAGGGCCCAATCCTGGATTAAAAAAAGAAAAAAGCAAAGGAAGAGAAGGTGCTCCCGGTCCCTCCTGGCTGAACTCGAGATCAAGGCCAGGGGTGGCTCTGAGGGAGGCTGAGGGGGTTTGGGTCCCAACAGGGGAAGAGGCGTAGCGTTCCTCCCGTGGCTCACGTGTCTGTTCTAGCAGCAATTTTCCGGGTCCCCGAGGCAACCCGCCTCGGTCCCCGCAGTCCCCCTGAGAGGGAGCGCTCCCCACACCCTTGTCAGAGCCATCAGGGAAGCCAGGGTACGGACTGGTGTTGGAGGTGCAGAGCCCATTCCCGGTGGGGACGCCCTTGACAGCGTCCTTGCCCGGGGAGGGGCCTGGGGCTGCCCTGGCGGCCTAGCCTCCCCCCACTCCGGTCCCTGTCCCTTCATAGCGGGAGCGAAGGCGCTGGTCCCTCATGGTGTTCGGCATTGAGAGCTCCAGGACGGGGGTCCCGTACACAGAGCGACACCCAGACTTCCAGCCACGTGACCCCTCCTGGCCCCTCTATGCGCACCGCCCTCAGCCCTCCCCACCTCAGGCCACCTGCTAGCCACGCTGGCCGGCTCTGTCCTTTGGATTTGCCAGGTTGGCCACGGGGCCTCGGCACTCACCGTTCCTCCTGCTGGGAAGGCTGTCCCCACGCTCTTTGCAGGGCAGGCTCCTCATCCGGGTCAAGTCCAATGCCACCTCTGAGGGGCCTGCCCCCGCCCACACGCTATGGCACCTCCATCCCCACTGTCTTCTGCAGAGCCCACAGCTGCCCCATGTGGGCTCCTTGCAGGCAGAGACCTGCGGGCCCGGCTGCCCACCTGGCTGGCGATGAGAGGCGTTCCTGATCGCTGGCACCTGCCCCACCATGCCCGCCAGAGCCGGGCCGGAGCTCCTCGGACAGCCCTGTCTGCTCTGCACCCTCAGGCTCTAATGCCACCTGTTCTGCGCTAAGAGCGGGGCCCCTTCAGTTTGTCACGGGCCACGGGGACCTTTCTTAATATGAGTCCCAGAGACCTGCAAATTCAGGCCATGTGGCTGTTGGCCTCTGACTTTCGGGGACACCTCAGTTTCGAATATTCCATCCATTACCACACCAGCTTTGGGTCTGGGAAACAGCGAGCGCTTCTCTGCGGGAAAACTGTGGGCAGAGGAAGGAGGGAGAGGAGGCAGGTGCCGCGGGTCCCGGGATCAGTCGAGCTGCGGGATGCGGCCACGGCTAAGCGAGCACATCCTGTGTCCAGCTGCCGTCTGCTCAGCTGTCACAGTACACAGGCCCCAACAGACCTCTTTACGGGTGCGGGAGGAATGGAGGCCTGGAGAGGCCACCTGGCTGGCCCAAAGTCACAGTTGGTGAGCTCAGAGGTGGGGTTCAAGGTCTGCCCCATGTTACTGCCCTCCTGGGGGCCCCATCCCTTGCTCTGTGAGGGGACAGCAAGAGGCAGGTCTGCACAGCTCCTGAAGGCCCTCCGGCCCTGCCTTCCCCGGGTCTGAGGAACAGGCCACCCTTTCCCGGAGCAAACTGTTAGGTGACAGGACACGGGGGGAGTATGGGAGTGTTAGTCACGGGCGGCAGACAGTGGAGGCCGTGGGGACGGGGTTGTTCAGTACCTAGAGTGAGGCTGCGCCTGAAGGGGGCTCTTAGCTTCGGGGCTCTTTGCCACAGACGGGGTTCTACGGCATGGAATGAAACACACGTGAATTGCCCGTCGCCCGCCTCGGCCCCACCGGACTCGCCGCGCGGCCTCCCCGGGGCAGCTCACCTGGACAGTAACGAGGACACGGGTTTCTCCACCGAGTTGCTCCGCTCCCAGGGCTTCCGGCCAGCCTCTGTCGATTCAGACAGTACACGGAGAGCCTCAGCGCTGGGAGGACGCTCGGGGGCACCTCCCCCCTGCCCGTGCCCGACGTGGAGGGTGCAGAGCTGCCCTGTCAGGGAGGTCTGCTTCCGGCACGTTCCCAGGCTCCCTTCGGCCCAGGCGGCCCTTGCGGGGTTGTGGATGGCATTGCGGTCACCCAGCACTGCCCCCTCAGGACGCAGTTCCTACGCCCTGGCCCTGGCTGGCCCTGACTGGTGGCCTGGCTCTGAGTCCTCTCCCATGGCTAGGTCTCTTCTGGGAGGGGGGCTTCTTAACCATGACCCCTACGGTAGAGCCGCGGCTCCGGCAAAGGGCCGAGTGGAGCAGAGGAAGCCCTCGGCCCCGATGCCGTCAGGGCAGCCCAGGGACTGCTCGTCTCCCCCCGTCTGGAGCTGGTCCCTTCCTGCTCTGGCCCTGAACGCTGTTTTCTCCTTCCATTTTCTTGTTTAAATGGTGGTAAATCCATACTTCGTTTTAACTCAAGATTGCTTGGACTGAACTGAGCTCCCTGACTTGGTAGGATGAGCAGAGGGAGAAGCAAAGTCCCCAGGGGTGGCAGGGAGGTCACCTGAGGGGGTCTCCCCAAACCCTTGCTTTGGGGCTCATGCGGGGCCTGCAGGCCCAAGAGCTGGGGCCACATCCAGACTCCAGGTGCGTGGCCCGGACAAGCTGGAAAACACATAACCATTGCCTAGGCTGTGTGGTGTTCATGTAGTCATTCACCAAACTCCACTGTGGCACCTTCTCAGAAGGGGAGGTCACGGTGTGCAGGGTCACAGGGAGGCAGCCTGGCCCGCAGAGCAGCTGGACGGGAGGCGAGGGCAGTTGGCCAGGGCCTCCCTCTGCTGGGGCGCGGGGCCTGTCTCCTCTCTGTCCCTGCCACCAAGAGCACCGGCTTGGAGCAGATGCTGAACAAAGGTTTGCTGAGTGACCCACCAGCACCTCCTTCCCAGCCTCACGGCATTCCGAAGTGACCCAGCCCCTGCACCCCGGATCCCACAGGGCTTCTGGGCAGGGTCTGGGGCTGTGTTTTTCCCCCAACCCATTACTGGTGGACTCAGGAGCACCACCGTGAGGGAGCCTCAGGGTGATTACCGTTTCATCTACCACGACGGGCACTTTGTGGGGAGACAGGGGTGTGACAGGCACGCATTCCTCTCCAGAGCTCTGGCCCAAGGCCGGGCACGCGAGCCCCAGCTCCCCCCCCCCCATGTGGGAAATGAGAGGACTGGACGTGGGGGGGTTATGATGCCCTCAGGGTCAGCACAGGCGCCGCCGCAGCACCTGCCCCGTTCCTCCCGGAGGCTCAGGCCTTCCAGAAGATCTCGGGGAGACACTGCCGGTGCCACCTCATCGGCCTCACCGCTCCTCTGTGGAGGAGGCGGTTGGGTTGAGTCACTTCCCGGAGGAGCCCCCTCCTGCTCTAAGGCCTCTGGTGCGGGGCGGGACGGGGTCCCCTACCTGAGGAGTTAGGTGGCTGGCTGGCTGCTCGGGTCCCCGGAGACGGAGAGGTGCTCGGCTCCTCCTGAAACAGAAAAGAGAAGCTGTGCCCTCAGAGCGCCAGTCGGGCAAGGGCAGGACGCCTCCCCCCGTTTTCTAAGGAGCCCGCGTTACTTTTGTAATTGGCAGAGCAGCCAACATCCTCGTTAGCAAGTGAAAGCCCCTGACCCTGGTGGGGAGGTGGTCCGGGCCACCTGGACAGTCAGGGGACAGTCGGGGGAGGAGAAGGCCGCACGGAGACACAGGCTCCTGCGGAGTGGGGCAGGCTTTCCCTGCGGTCCGCAAGAGCCCTTCCCGTCACCCAGCCCACCGCTGTGGCCTGAGGCCCGGGGAGCTGCTGCCCTGTTGTCCGTGGGCAGCCTTGGGCGGCCCTGGTGAGGGGCGGTAGCCGGGCAGGACCACAGAAGGGCCTCCCTCGCCGGGCCCGGCTCACCGCTCCACTGGCCGGGGGTGGGACCAGGTGACAGGTGGCCCCATGGGCCGTGCAGGTGGGCTGCTGCAGGGCGGGGGCTGGGAGAAGACATCCAGTCAGTCCTGAGGGTCAGGTTGCCCCCGCCCCCCGCACTGCCTTCGCCCCAGACACCTGGAGGCGAGACCCCCTTCACTTCTCTTTTACCAAGAGGGGAGGATGTGGTAAGAACCCCTTCTCTCTATCCAACCAGCCCACAAGTTCATGCATGTTGCTGCCAAAGTGGGGCTAGAGCCGGGCTCTGTCCTCCGTGCCCCTCTGCGCCAGCACCCACCTGCTGGGGCAGGCAGGAACCCGAGCCCGGCCGCCTCCCAGCGGGTGTGCTCTCCTCCCCGTGCCTCTGCCTACGTCTCTAGGACACACTGACTGCTGGGCCTCTGCCCTGCAAACCCCGGCTCGGCCTTTAGAGCTCGGGGCAGACACCACTCCTCCTGGGGCTCTGGGCACGGCTTCAGGACCCCTCTCTCCTTGCCCTGCACTCCCCGGGCCCCGCTGCCCCTTCTCTCTCTGCCCTTAGCACTCTGTCTGCCTGCTGTGCCCTCTCTCTCCAGGACAGCCCCCAGCTCTGGGCCCTGGCACGCCTGGCCCACGGCGGGGCTCCATGGAGCCCGGCAAATGCGTGTCTGCTCTGCCTGGGGAGCGTGTGGGGTGAAACGCAAATAAAGGAGGTGAATAACTCAACAATAAAAAAGCTGATGTTTGCGGGGCCCTGGGTGGCTCAGTCGGTTGAGTGCCTGACTTCGGCTCAGGTCATGATCTCGCGGTTCCTGAGTTCGAGCCTTGCATCAGGCTCACTGCTCTCAGCCTGTCGACCCACAGCCTGCTTCAGATCCTCTGTCCCCCTCTCTCTGCCCCTCCCCATTCCAAATAAATAAGTACACATTTTTTAAAAAGTGCTGATGCTCGTTACACGTGCGCACATGCACGTTTTGGAAAGATTTTATACTATTAAGAAAGTGGCATTTATTAGGTACTAATAGTTGCTCCATTTGTATGAAGAAACACACACACACGATTGCTATGTGGAGCTTTAGACCAGGCAGAGCCAAAGAGCCTGATGAGACTGAACTAGTATGATTCTGATCTGAAGCCAAGAACTGCCTTGTGGGATCGCCTGTGCCTCATTCTCTGTCGGCTCTCTGCTTCCCTCCCCTCTGGTCCATCTGAGGTGTGGGCCCCTCAGCTACCTCCGGGGACCAGGACGCTGGGCTCAGTGCTCCAAGCGGGAGGCCCCCCTGCACCCCGCGCCCGGGCAACGTGAACCTGTAAGAGCCACTTGTCCCCAGACTGGGAACAGACCCGGCAGCCATCAGGAGGCCCCCAGGTACCTGTGGGATGAATGAATGAACTCCCAGAGCCTCTGCTCCAGAGACGGAATGATGTGCGGGGCTCCGGGTCTCGGCAAGAGTCTCCTCGGGCCTCTCATTTAAGGGAGGGCTGAGCACCTGAAACTGTGGGCACCCACACGCGTGCATGGGGACCAGGACGCGAAGGAGATGGGCAAGAATGGAGGCCGCGGGGGTTAAACCAGGATAACTGAGACCCTAGGAGTTTTCCTTCAATCCCATCCTGTTACTCTTTCAAAGTAATTCAAACAAATGCTCCCTCCACAAAGAAGATACCCCTTCTGCCCAAGCTTGGAAGGAGAGCATGATGTCCCGCTGTGGCCGGGGCTCACACCCTCCTGCCCTGGACCCCGGCCTGTCCTCAGTGCCAGCGGGTGGCAGAGTCCCCTCCCTACCTCCTCCCGCCGCCTCCGAAATTCGGGGCTATTTCCTTCTTTTAAACAATGCTTGCTTGTGTTCCGTTCATTAGGGAACCTAGTCTGTGCTCAGCGAGGAGCAGTGAAGAGACTCTGGAAAATACTGAAAAGCACGAAAAAGGAGAGCCAGCGCCCATGTGCATCTGCTCGGCATGTGGGGAGGGGCCTCCTGACCGCGTGTGGGACCCCAGCAAGTGGACCCAGCAGTAACCCGAGGCTTATCACAAATGGAAAGAAAGTGGGGGGTTAGGGGATGAGGACCCCCCACCGGGGATGGGAGGTTTCTCCCAGAAGTCCCTGGGATTTGAACCCGCTCTTCTGGGAGCCAGGGACTGGGGGAGGCTGGGAGGCACGACCAACTCTGGGCTCTCCCGCCCAAGCAAGGCCACCCAGGCTTGTGGCACCGGTGACTGCCCTGTGGCTCCCGGCCCGACAGGCTTCTGCAGTTGCAGAAATTCCCGGGGAGTTACCGGAGCCGACTCCGGACACCGTGCGAGGCAGGGTGGGACACAGGGTAAGAGTGAGTCTGAACAAGCAAAAGTGTGTGTGCTAAGGATCAAGCAGTGGGGAGCCTTACTCAGCCTGGGGGCCGAGAGGCTATCTTTTGGGGATCAGCGTTCACGCAGAGAAGTGTGAGCGAGGAGGAGCCAGCTGGAGGGGCTGACGGACTGTGTGTCCCCTGGCACGGGGGTCAGAGGAGAAAGCTGGCTGGTGGGGCTGGAGCCCAGGGCTGTCCTGGGTTCGCCTCAGCCGATGGGGCGGGGGTGGGGGGGGTTAGCCACCTCTAGGGGCAGCAGCTGCCTGGGGCCTGTGTGGCCAGACAGGGTTCCGGGAGGCCTGAGGGCAACAGCTGGAGCCCCGCAGCCTCTGCTCTGCTCACCCCTGCGGCTCCTGCTGGAATCGATGGGCTCGAGTGGGGTCTTTAACAGCCACTTGGGAAGTGACTTGAGAATGAAACCCGCCCTGGACCCCCAGCGCACGCTGCCTACCGTGAGCGCACTCTCTGACCCCCGAGTCCCTGAGCCCGCGTGCCCGGGAGACGCTAGCCCGTCTGCGTGCGGGGCCCCTCTGCGCTCCCAGGCTCCGAGCTCTCCCCTCGTGGCTCCGGCTCGATCCCGCCTCTCTGCTTCTGCAAGGGCCTGCCACCCGGAGGAAGGGGAGGGGCAGACGTGAATGCTCCACGGGCTTTTCTGGCCCCCTTGCCCCCCCCCTCAAACTTCCCCGTCCCTCCTACAAATCACCTGGTAAAGTTTCTACCACAGGTACGTCCACACCAGCCGCGCTTTAGTGCCCTGGAGGCCTGGTCTCCTCACCCTGGTGGGGAAGCCCAGGGTGGGCGAGGGCTGGGGTCTGCTTACCGTTTGGCTTTCATCTTCCTTTTTATCAGCCGGCTTGTCTGTCTGGGAGGCTGCTTTTCTCCTAGCGCGAGGGGAAGAAGGTACACGTGAGTTCCTGAAGGTTCTCACGCTGACCTAGATGCCTCTGCTGGACCCTGCCTGGCCCTCAGAGGAACCTGGGGGGAGGGGTCTGACCCATTTTATGTGAAGGAGGCAATTGTTTGAGCAGCCACGGCAACGCCTAGGTGAGCGTCCAGGCTTTCTGTCCATGACCCTGGACACAAAACCAGTCTGGGCAGGCAGAACAGGGTCTGGGGGACATTCCAATCTCTGTTTATGGCACCCGAGGAGTGGAAGAAGCCCGTCTGTATCCCGTCTGGGTTCCCCAGGGGACTGGGCTCCACTGGGGTGGTGGCCATTCTCCTGGGACACTCAAGGTCGGGTCCTGTGGGACGGGAAGAGGTACCCCTGGGTCACAGGCTGGGGCTGTGGGGGCGTTCTGTCTTCAGGCGGACTGGCTTAGGTAAGCGGACCCCGCTACCGGTGGGAAACCTGTTTCCGTGACCTCTTCCCATCTCGGGCCTCAGTCCTGCAGCCACGGCCCCCCGGCCCCCCCCTTCCCACCCACCCCCGGCCCTGATCTGGAACCCCACTGTGAGCCTGCCCCTGCCCCTGCTCAGAGAGGGTAGGACCCTGAATAGCTCCAGCTGATGCCCTCGGGTCACTCTGCACACTCCCTACCTGCATGGACCCCCCAACCCCGTTTTGGCCTCAGGGGCCACCTGTACCTGGCTAACTCCCAAATGTGTAATCGCAGGCCCTTAATATGCCCCAGAGAAGTGCTGTTGGGGATGTTCCGCTCTGGGAAGCTGCCCCAGCACTCAACTCTTGGAGATCAGGAGGTTAGGCTGTCACGGCCGAGACATGGCCCCACCGGGAGCCGCTCCTCCCAGAGCGACTGAGGGATCCTCCCCACCAACCTCTTCCTCACAAGAGTGGAGCCAATTCTGCCTGTGCCTCCTAGTTCCTAGTTCAAGTCTGTACTCCTGTCTTCACTTCCGACACCTGGTGTCCCTTCCTGGATGGCAGCTGTCCCTTCGCTGGGCCACCCACGGCCGCTCTGCTTGACGACACTCTGTCCTCGCCCAGAGCCAGCATTTAATTTTCTAAAGCTATGGAGCGGGCAGGCCTGCAGTCCCAGGAGGGCCCAGCACACAGCTCTCGTCCACGCTGAGTTTCCCATCTGAGCCCGGCCGCTGGGGGGGAGAGCCCACCGCTGGGACCCCGCTGTGGGAAGGAGACCCCGCCCCTGGGAGGGAGACACTGCTGTGGGGAGGGAGAGACAGGCCCTGGGAGAGGCAGAAAGTCCCTTCGAACCTTCCTCAAAAGAAGTCCTCACTTGGACTTCCTCACTACGGAGTCCAAGCAGCCCCTGCCATGGGCTGGGCTTCAAAGAGTGGCTCCGCGAATGCTGTGGGCGCGGTGCACACAAGCTGGTTCTTGGCAGGGCCCCGACTGTCACGCCAGCATCTGGGCGTCTCACCGGCTCCTGGTGACATGGGTCTTTTCCTGTCCTCGGGAACTTCCTCTGTGTTAGGTCTGAACCACCTAGGCCTCTTATTGTTAACGCTCTGGGTTTGGACCTGAGAGAAGTGTGACTGTTTTCTTTTTGAACAACATCTATTTTTACAGAAGGCCCATCCACCTCTCAGGGAAGGAGCCCCGCGCCTGCAGACAAGGTTAGTTCTCGCAGGCTTACCTTCCGTCACCTGCCTCTGTGCCCCGGGCTCTTGGCCCGGTGGGTCCCTGGGTCCCCCCAGTGGGGGAGCACTGCCCACTCGAGCTCTCCTTCCACAGTGCTCACGGTGAGCCTCCTCTGTGTGGCCCTCCCGGCTAGCCCCAGGGAGCGGGCGGAACTGGCCTGCTGTGGGACTACTGCTCGCAGGCTGTCCCTGCCCTTGGTGACCTGTGTGATTGTGGATCAACCTCCCGGCTCCCTCCAGCGCCCCTGGACAGCTCTGCCCCTGCCACAAAGCGTCAGACTGACCACCTGGGCTCTGGGGGCCTGTCTCCCCCACGCCCTCACCGAGCTGGGACCAGGACGACATAGGGAAGCTCCCACTCTGGGGCAGCCCGCCTGGAGGGCAGTGGGGGTGCCCTGACAGTGAGAGAAGCTAGGGGCGGGGTCCCTGTGGTAGCGAGGCCCCAAGGCCGCTCACGGGACACGAAGGGGCCTTCTGACAGGGGCGGTCTGCTCCTGAGCCCTCCGGTGCCTGGGGGAGCTGCGGCATTGGCAGCCTCCGTCAGCACATTCCTGCCGCCACCCCACACGTGCAGGTAAAATCCAGGCTCTGCAATCCTCTGCGAAGGAGCCATGTGGCCTCTCTGCACGCTGCGGTCTCAGCTGGGGACACCCAGCAGCACAGGGACAGGCTGACAGCCTTGGGCAAGCTGCAGCCACGGAACTGGTGTGGACGGAGAAGGGGATGGCCAGGCCCCGGGCCCAGAGCCGTGACACGGGTGCCACTCTCATTCCATCCCCCAGGGAGGTGTCCTTGGGGCTCCCGCCACTTCCGAAGGCTGTCCCACGCCCTCCAGAATGGCCCCACAGGCCCCGCCCCCCACGCACGTTCACCGCCGTGGACTGAGCGGCTCCAGCGGCAAGACTATGTGTCATTTATGTCGGGATCTCAAGCGTGGGGCATGCGCTGCTCTTCCCCGAGCTGGTCTCTGAAATTATCTCCAAATCTCTGTCCACCGTGGACGAGGCTGGAACGCAGAGGACGCGTCAGTAAGTGCTGTCACACCGACCCGAGGAAGGACTGGGACTGAGACGGGAGGGGACTCCTCCGGGCTTGATGCCGCAGGCTGACCCCCTGAGGAGGGGAGCTCGATTAACATCCCGGGGTTGGCTGAGCCCAGGTGGCAGCGGGCCCTGAGGCCGGGCCAGCACAGCGCTTTGAGGCCAAGGAGCAGGGGATCCCTGACAAGCGGCTGAGTCGGGGGTGGGGGACGGGACACCCACCTCTTGGCCAGCAGCTTGTTCATTTCTTCCATGAGGCCTCCTCCTCCACCCCCACTGCTCGCCCGGTTGGCGTCAGACTTGGAGGCCCCGCTGGGGCTGGAGCCTCCAGATGCATCTTCTGGCTAAAGGGCAAGGACGCAACGTTTTGGTCCGGCGTCTGCAGCAGGACATCACTGGAGGGTGGGGGGTGCACCCAAGCGTGGACGGGACTCCTACGAGGGAGGCGCTGGAAGAGGCCCTCGGGGCCCATTCCCCCAGCCCCACAGGCGACTCAACCCCGGAGTTCAGCGGGGCACCGGCACCAGCCGGCCATGGCGGGCAGACACGCCCCAGGTCTGTGGCCCCTCAGCACCCTTGCCGAGGCGGGTGTGACATGTCCAGGAGGAGAGGCAGCTCTGGGGAAGGAAGCTAAATTCTGTCTGGGAGGTGCTCTCAGAATCACAGCCACCCTCAGCTGCCCTGAGGCCACCCCCGCCCGCTCCGGGCCACCGCAGATGTGCTGGGACAGGGAGCCGCGTGGGGGGAGCACGGTGGATGCAGACCCAGGGGCCTGACAGCCCACGCCCAGGGACGCTTACCCTCTGGACCCTCCTCAGCTTGGCCCCGGCCAAGGCGGCGGCCAGTCCTGACACGGAGCCCTCGTCGTGGCTGGAGCCCTGCGCGCCTCCGGCTGGCAGTGGGGGTGGGGGAGGCGGAGTGGCCCCTGTGGGTGGAGGTGGGACGGGGGGCGGAGGCGGCGGTGGGGGCCCACTACAGGAGAGGGGGGCGCTGGCTGCAGACGAGGGGTGCCCCGGTGGGAGGGTAGGTCCTGAAATACAAGAGTGGGGCTCAGTCAGTTGCCAGTCCCCAGCTGGTGCTCCCCTGGGAGGAGGGACACAGGGCAGCCTGCTCCCCGGGTTGCCTCTTCCAGGAAGCCCCTGCGGGACATGCCTAGCCCTGGTTCAGTTAGTCCCTATGCTGGTCTTCCCAGCATTCTGGGGGTTGGCTGGACCCACGGTGTCACACATTCACCATCCCTTGAGCGCAGCTAACTTGTTCCTGTCGTGCCCTTTCCGTGAGAGAGAAAGCGCTCTGATGCCCCAACCGTGTCTCAATCTCCTCCTCTGCACCTAGCATCATCCTGGGCACCGGCTGCTGCAGGGCCCTGAGAGACCGCTGGGACTGACCGTGGCCTCGGGGGACTGTGGCAGGTGCCCGTGGCCACAGGGCTGACCAAGGCATGCGCTAGGGAGCAATGCTGAGTGCCGGGCACTGGGGGAAGAGGCCCCGGGATCCCTGCTCATGGCCTCGCAGACGCGCAGACGCAGCTGTGGCAGGAAGGCCAGTGCTACTGGGAGAAGGCAGGTGGCGCCGCCTGGGCTCAGCTTCAGAGCCAGTTCAGAGAGGACTTCCTCAGGGAGGGGACCACCCTGCTGGGTCGGTGACAGCAAGCATGAGGGAAAAGAGGGCGGGGAGTGCTGGGGAGGCCCCGGAGAGGTGGGGGAGCCGCCAGGTCTGCCGGGACCAGGCCCGTGCTAGGGAGCATGGGGAAGGGGGCGCACAGGACAGCGTTGGCTGCCCGTTAGCGTGGAGGGCGGACCAGAGCGGGGTGGGGGGTCCGCGGTGACAGGGGGTGCTAGAAGCCAGCATTGGCACACGTGGGGGCTCCCGGGCCGGTGCCTGGTTTCCTCATCAGTAGGCTGGGGGGACTCTGCGAGCTGTGAAGTCCTGGGCTTACTAATCAACACTGTCACTCTTCAGGGAACCTCGTTCCGCGTCCTGTGCTGCTGGGGTAACCCTGAGTCTCTGGAGGGCTTCTGACTCCTGGGGTGGCCGGGCCCCTCCTCTGTGTGTCTGCGCCCTGCATGCCAACTTGGTGGCCACGGTGGCACTGGGATGATCCGGGGCCCTTGGCTGGACCCTGGGCGCCCTGGGGCAGGGGCGGCGTCTGCCTTGTCTGTCCCTGCGTGTCCCTAGCCCCTAGCACAGTGCCGGAGACAAGGCCCGTGCTCGCTCAGTGTCTGCTCAGCCAGCGAGGGGTGGGGGGCCCGAGGCTGGCAGGCGAGGGCCGGGCCTGGCTGAGCGGAGCCCCTTCCCCCAGCCCTGTCGTCTGGTTTCACCGGATGTGACCGTGACACATGGAGCTCTGGGCAAACAGCCGCTCTTGCCAGAGCCCCAAGGTGCCCCAGGGAGGGCTGGGGGCAGGGGGAGAAGCGGACCCTGGGGGGGTGCCCTCACCTGGGGCTGAGGTTCTTCTCTCTAGAGACTCCTGACGCTGGTGCTGGTGCTGGTGCTGCTCCATCACTTGTCTGCAAGACAATGGCAGAGAGCATCTGACCTCACGGTGCCCAGAACAGCGCAGCTCCGTGTTGTTCTGGGCACCATGAACGGCAGGCTGCAGAGTCAGGTTCCGCTGGCACGCCCCAAGAGCCCCGGGCTGGGGGCCTGGGTAGTGAGCTCACCTCGCCCGCCCTGGCCCTGACGGCTGGGCTGCCTGCCCGCACTTCAGGGAGGTGGGACTCGTGACTGGTTCTAGGTCCCCAGATGGGTGAGTGCTGGCGGGTCCCCTTGGATGGTCCCAGGCACACCTGGATGGGGAGAGCCCCTCAGGAAGGCTCAGGAGACCGTCCGGCTGAGTGCCCCAGCTTTGCCCAGGCTGGACGTGCCCATGTGGCTTTGGGGGGCCCTGTGGCCTCAGCACCCCTGACCTCTGGGTCGCTCATGCTTAGGACACCTGACTACATTCCCTGGGAGAATTGTTAGGCCTTGCCGGTTGGCAGGTGAAGTGCTCAGGCTGCCCATCCTCACTCCTTCGAACAGAGCCAGCCCCAGGCCAGCCTCCTGTCAGGGCTGTCTGGTGCGCCAGTGCTGTGTGTGCCGCGGTGGGAACTGACCTCCTAGCTCCTCCAGGCAGAGTGACCTTGGGCGCTCTTAAAGGCAGGTCGAGAGAGGATACTGACCCACAGATCTGTCCCTAAAATCTGGGACTGAGGTGCTGGAGCTGACCGAGGACGGCAGTGAGGCTTTAGCGGCTGTGACCCAAGTGCCATTAGCTCTGAGGCAAAGCATGGGGTGGGCAGTGATCTCATGCCTCCCCCAGGCTCCTCGGGAGAACACACCACAGGTGCGTGGGGGCCCAGGCGTGGGCAGGGGAGGCGGGAGGGGTTCCCGCGGGCGGGAGGCTGGTGGCCACGGGTCTGTACCGCACCCTTGGTCTACGGCGAGCTGGTTCCGCGTCTGGCCTGTAGCAGCTGCTCAGTCAGCGCTTTGTGAAGGAACGAGTACCTTGTCCAGCAGCCCTCACACGGCACCTCCTCCGGCGGGCCTCACAGGGCACCTTCTCCGGCGGCCCTCACACGGCACCCTGTCCGGCAGCCCTCACATGGCACCTCCTCCGGTGGCCCTCACAGGACACCCCATCCAGCAACCCTCATGGCACCCTGTCCAGTGGCCCTCAACCGGCACCCTGTCCGGCGGCCCTTACACCGCATCTCCTCCAGTGGGACCTGTTCAGGGGTACAGGGCCTCTGGCTCCCACTCTGGGAGCATGGTTCCCAGACTACATGTGAGCCCGATGAAATAACGGGAGGGGCCCTACTGGTGGGAGAGGTATCTGGCGTCCCTGTCCGCACTGCTGCAGCATCACCCGAAGCCCCAGCCCACCAGGCAGGATCCATGTGCTCAGAAGCCCTTGGCAAAGTGGAGGCTTCTGGAAATACTTAAAAACCAGGTGTGGACTTAAGACCCTGTTTGGGAGCGAACAGAAGGTTCCTGTGCTTGGAATCCCCACCTCGTGTCTGGCCCCACGTGAGTCCTGCCTCCCTGGCCTCCCTCCATGTGAGGTGACCAGTAGGGACGTGGAGGAGCAGGGTCCCCTGCCCTGAGGCTTGTGTTGAGTCCCGCAGTTCACAGACAGGCCCATGGACTACGGACTGGAGGTGGCCTCACGAAGGAACGCTGGGCTTGGGTGGTGGGTCAGGGACACACGCAGTGTGGCTTTAACCAGTCCTGAGAGATCTGTTTGGACTCACCACGCCCGCCTCGGGGTGGAGGCAGCCCCGGCTCCCTGCAGAGGGCTGAGCTGGGGCCACACGAACTGTCAGTCCTGGTTACTTTGGGCAAGTCCTTTCCACTCTCTGAGCTTCAGCGGGCTGGTGTGAGAACCGTACCAGCAACAGGAAGCCCGGAGGGTTAGCGTGGGGGGCACACGAGGCAAAGCCTGGAAAAGCCCTTCATGAACTGCAACAGGCCCGATCCTGAGAGGCCGGGAGATAGGCCCAGGGGATCCAGAGATGATCGGGAACTGATAAAAGTCTAGCCTGCAGGCAGACCAGAAGAGCATTGCGATCCTCGCCACATTTCTTGGAGGCGAGCAGAGCAAGGATTGCCGCTGTTCTCACCCAGTGGGAAACTGAGGCTGAAAGCAGGAACTTGCCCTGGGTTACAAAGTACACTGTCGGGGCCAGAAGGCGCCCAGAGGTGACGGAGCTGTGGCTTTCGCTCCCCAGAGTGGGCAAGAGGCTAGAGGAAGACCCTCGAAGCCAGCTGAGGGGTGGGGACATGGCCTCCCTGACCCCCAGCCCAGGCCCTGGTGCAGCCCCTCTGCTGAGACCCTCACAGCCTGGCTGCGAGCCTATCAGAGAGGCAGAACCCCTGGCGACGTACGCTGAGAGGTTGCTCCTTGGCCACCACTGCCTCTCTGTAACCTCAGAACAACGGCACTGGCCCTTCCTCCCAGCCTGAGCACTTGGGAGTCTCCTTGGAGGCAGTGGTGTCATCTTATGGCCCATATTCTAGGAGCTGCCTCCTCCACGGGCTGGCAAATGACAACAACAGTGCAGCCCCGGCCATGCTGTCGAAGAGCCATTGCGATCCCCGAAGGGCGCCCACGGTCTCTATCCACCCCCACCTCAGCTGGGAAGGGAGTACGCAGGGGCTTAGGGTCCTCCCGAGGGGCTGCGGCACCTGCCCCAGGCCCCAGGCTGACAGCCTGAGGGGGTGGCCTTGGCGATGTTACCGCGGCCCCCATGTGGTGACAGCCGCCGCCCCTGCCACATGCGGGCGGGCTGAGTTAACTCAGAGTGACCCACACCCGGAAGGCTGTAGACCTCCACGAGACCACACGATCCCTCTGTCACTCTGGCCAAGAGCCACACACGTGCTCCCTCTTCCTTTTGGTCAGGCCTATCCAGCTCCCCCCACCCCTACGCCCCCATGTGTGCCTCTGGGGGCCCTGCTGGGCGGGGTGGGGGTTACCTTCTCTGGATGTCCATCTCGTCAGGGGAGGGGCCATTCTGCACCTGGCGCTGGGTGGAGGGGCCTGTGGGCAGAGAAGCACAGGGGTTAGTGGGGAAGAAAGGCCCCGGCAGAACAACCTGAAGCTCTCCTCGTCTCTGCTCCCTGGCCCACAGGCAACCCCCTGGCCTCTCAACAGGCACCCCACCGTCCCCCTCCTGCCCCCTCGGCCGCCTCTCTCCCCGTCTCAGTGCTCTTCTCTCAGAGCCAACGAACGGGACCGCATGGCTCACACGGCTGAGATGCCTCCTTCCTCTCAAGGTGCACCAGCCGCATCCTCGCACCCTCAGCGGCTTGGCCTCTGCGCATCCTACAGAGCTGTTCCAACCGGAACCGCCAGTGTGCTCGGCATCGCCAAGCCCAGTGGATCCAGTCCCACCCCCTTCTCTGTCGCGCCCTGCGAGCACAGGAAGGCCCCCCACAGCAGGTTAAGTGTTAGAGCCGGGGGAGGGGGGTCACACCTGGGCCGGTGGGGACACAGCCCGGGCTCCTCACGGCCGTGGGGATCCCCGCTGCCTGCATCCCGGAGCCTGTGGCTGTGGCTGCTCACTGACTGAGTGACCGCGAAGCCTTCCGGGCCAAGCCTCGCCCTGGACCCTGAAGGCAGGGCCCAGAGCAGTTCAGGCCTGCTGCTCGTGCCCGATGTCTGGGCAGCGGCCAGGGCACGTTCACGGGAAAAGGCAGGGCTGAGAAAGAGCTGATGGCTCCTGGCCTTTGCCAGCTCAGGTGTCACTGGGGCGCTGTGCAGAGTCACAGCGACAGGGCAGAGACTGGGCAAGCGGGTCTCATACTTCGCTGACCACATGGGGTAGGGGCTCAACTCCTCCCAGGAGACAGTGGCAGCTGAGCTCAGCCCATGGCAAACTCCACGTCATACGGAAGGCTTCTTGCACAGGCGCTTTCAGCCGCCGAGGGATTAGCAGGTTGTCCCCTGGGTCAGGGGCACGGCGGGACAGAGAGCAACAGAATCTCCAGGCTGAAACAGATCATCTGATTCTAGGGCGGCCGCCCGCCCAGCACTGCAGCGTCTTGTGTGTCTCCTGGGCAGGCGGTCCGGCAGGATCATAGCAACGGAAGTCACCGCCTCCCACGGGACCACGTGCTCTCTCACACTGAGGTCTCTGCCACCGGGTGGGACACAGCATGGGTGGCACTCTTCATGCCCAGAGTGAGCATCCGTGTTCGGCTCTCTCCAGACCTTGCTGTCCTGGGCCTCACGATCCGCTCTGGTCTAGTTTCTAGTGAGCAGTGCCTCACCGGCGTCCCAGCTCTGGGCGAATGTTTGGGCTCGGGAAGGAGGCGGATCCGGACGCGGGGCAGCGGGCCCGCTGCTTGCTGGGAGGAGCTGGCCTTGCGGGGCTCCAGGGAAAATGCTTCCCCGGGGTGGGTGGGGGCCCCTGCCCGGCATTGCCTGTGCTCATGAGTGCCTTCGGTGGCTGTCACAGGGCGGCCAGTAGAGAAGGTGCTCATAGGCTTTTACAGACGTGACCTTCATAAGGACCTGGGGTGGTGATCTCACCTGACAGGCCCGGAATCAATGCCAGCTTTCCTTCCCATTTCTAAACACATCTTTAAAGTTAATTACTTTAACATACAATTTTGCTCTTTTTAAAAAATTGGTTTTTCTGATTATAACTAGCACGTGATAGATGTTCAGTGTACACGTCACAGCAATCACAACACATTACAGGACAAATCCTTGTCGGGGACCTTCTCTCTCCTTCTGGGCAAGGCCCGGGTCTGGGGGCTGCTTCCTCCTGGTTCTCAGGAGCAGAGGCAGGAACACGCTGCCGGGTGCATGGCGCAGGCCCTTTCCTGGTTTGGTGTGAACTCATCTCACGGTCACAGCCCTGGCAACGGCCCCTGTGAGAACCTGTAACAGGTGAGGGCGTGGCCTGGAAAGGGGAGGTGACTTGCTCAGGGCCTCCCTGACAGCAGGTGGCGGAGGCAGACTCAAACGACCTGCAAAAGGCCGCTGTCTTCCTTCTGTCCAGTCATACCGTGGGTTCAGATGGAGACCAGCTTAGAAGAAGAAAGGTGGCAGGTGGGCACGCCAGGGCACGGGGCAAGGGGCTGCATTCCCGCAGGCTGGACGGGGGTCCTCTGACCCTGACCCAGGGGCTCTGCCTCCACCCACTTGTCCTGGCTGAGGCATGAGGGATTCAAGACATCTCAGCCCCTGGTTCTGGGAATCGGGCCCGAGCTGCTCGGGTGCTGGCTGGACTTCTGGAAAACTGGCCCCTGCCTTGCTCCGGGGGTGTGGCCTCCGCTGCCAAGCCCATGCCTGACCCTGGAGTCGCCCTTCTTCCAGGGCCGAGACCCTGTCCGGCACTTGGTCTGAAGTCTGGATAGCCAGGCCCACCCTGGCACCGAAGTTGTGGGATGCCTGGGCTCTGCTAGCCACTCAGAGATCTCTTCATCCGCCGGCCTGGTCTGGCCTCCGTCACTGGGACCGTTTGTCAGGGCCCCAGAGAGCAGCTGACAGCCTGCACAGCGGTCCGTGTGGGGTCCCGTGCTGGGGTCCCTCACTCTGCCTGCTGGGCTGGCCTTCCTCCTGACACCCTCAGCCAGCCCGTCCTTCCCAAGGGTGCAGGACATCCGTCAGGAGCCTGGCTGTTCCCAGGGGACCGGAGTCCTGCACTAAGGACAGATTTCAAAACAGGTGGAATTTCAGACACGACAGAGCAGGGAGAGACACCGCTTGGCTGCGTGAGGCCTTCCATTCTTCTCAAACTAAGAAAACTCGGTCTGTTTTGTGCCGTGAGGATCCTTAGCATCAGGAAGCATGGTCCCTTCACCTCGGAGGCGGGCGCTGAGGCGCAGGGAAGGGCCCGCCAGGGTCACACGGGTGTCTGCAGCAGACGGGAGGTTCTCACCATCTCCGTACTCCTGGCCTGTCCCACGCACTGGCCGCGGTGGCCCCAGCGGCAGAGGCAGGGGGCGGGGGGCACAGGGAGGAGGCTCAGAACCCCCTGAGGCTCCGTGGGAAACCTCCTGGCACAGCCCACGTGCTTCTTCAGGGGAAGCCACGGGGTGGGGGCACTGGGGGGCTGTCCGCCACCCCTATCTGTCCTGTTGTTTCCGACAAGCCCCGTGCGGTGAGACCGGAAGCCAGGATGGAGGCGCGCAGAGCCCCCCAGGGCACGGAGTCACCTCAGGCCAGCCGCACCTCTGCCTTCAGGACCCCACTGAGGGAGGAGGGGGGAACCCCGCTCTCCCGCCGCCTGCTTGGAGGTGGTTGCAGGATCTCAGTGCAGTGCTGTCGGGGGTCCTGAGAGTCCCCCGCCTCCCCACCCCCACGGGGCTGCCTCGGTCTCTCTGCCAGGCTGGATGCCTCGGTCAACCGACAGGACCCTGGGCTCCGCTCTCCCCCCCCACCCCTGCTTCCCGCCCCTTTCCACACTGACTTCACAGCCTCCGTGGTCTGTGGAAAACACAAGCCTGACCCGCAGGGGGCTGGGCCCACGCTCCGTGGGAGAGGACCCCAGCCCAGCCCCGCAGCCGCCGCTCCTGTCCCCACCAATGCAGCGGACCCTGCGCATCTGCTCCCCACCTCTCTGTCCCTGCGCGGGGTACCGTCTGTGAGGGTCAACTCCACGGCTGCCTCTTCCAGGAAGCATTTCCTGCTCCTCACTGCTCCATACGCAAGGGCCTCTGTCACAACTTTCTCACTAAGACGACGGCACTTTGGAAGCAATCCTCTCTTCCCCGTGAGGTCTTGAGCTTCTTGAGGGCAGAGACCACATCCCTTCCCCATCACTGCATGCGCAGTCCCTGGCTTGCGCCGGACGCCGCGGATATTTGGCTGACGTGAGTCGGGATGGTTAGAGAGAACTCGTGACCGCCAGCACAGGCGGGGGAAGCACAGGAAGGGATGGCGCTGGACTCGCTCAGATAAAAGTCACCGACGAGATAAAAGATAAAAGCCGTGGAACACAAGTGACTCTCCAGTTCAGGCTTGTTCAGAGAGGAGGCCGCCGGGGGGTGGTTCGCAGCAGCACCAGGACGCCCGGGGGCAAACTGCAGGGACAGCCCGCCCCCCCCAGCCTTTGTCACCCGCCCCAGCCTTTGTCGCAGGGCATTCTGTTTGACGTGCTCCTCAGCACAAGACGCCCCCAGCTCCGCACCAGCTGTGCGTGCACTTGTGCTCACCTTCGGTCGCGCGGTGCCCCTTTGCGCACGGACGGCCAACGCTTGTTGGGAGAGACCACGCTGAACTGCCCTGTCCCCGCAGGTACTGCCGCGGGCAGGCGGGGGGTGGCCCGCGGCCAGGAGGGAGAAGGCCTGGCCGGAGCTCTGCCCCGCGCACGGGCTGGGCCTCCTGGCCCATGAAACGAGCATCAGTACGAACCCTGAAGCCTGACGCAGCTGCCGTGGGGAAGACCTGAACTGCACAAAGCGCTCCGTGAGGCGCAAAGGCCCGCACGATGCTCGTCCTTAGCACTGAAGGCAACGGTCTGGGCGGCCTCTCCTGCCGGTCACCGGCCTGCCTGCGTCCTGCGCGCTCGGACAGCCCTTCGTCCCACTTGGTGCTTTCCGGAAGGCGCTCGCTGTCCACTGACAGGGCGCTGCCACCCCTGCCGCCTCCGTGGCCCCGCAGAAGGGGTGCTGGACGCGCCCAGGCCAGGGGGCTCCTCACCACGGCCCCAGTGTCACAGCTCGTTGTGTGTGGGAGGTGGTCCGGGGCACCCACCAAGTCAACCCTCGCGCTTTCTCACTCGCCTCCGACAAGTGTTGCCAAAGTCAAAATGAAGACCCTGTCGGCATGACACACCCGCGGGCAGGAGCCAGGGAGACGTGAGGTGGGGCAGCAAAGGGGGGCATGCCAGGGCAGAGGGTGCCTCCTGTCTGAACACCGAGAGGGGGCAGGGGACGGAGGGTGCGGCCCACGCTGACACTCGCATCCAGGCCTGTCCCTCCGCGGGACGGGGACGCTTGCTGGGGAAGGCGCGGACTTGCTGCCGTCCCGGAGGCCCACTTGCCAGATGGCGTGAAGTCCCACCAAACATCTGCTTCTACAGAACA